CTTAACAAATAAGAGTTTTTATCCGTAATGTAATCGTAAATGGAAATTTTATCTAACCGATAAGTGTTAATATTGAGTGCAATCGGCTCTCATTGCAATTCCTACATAATTCATTGCTGTAATTATGATGCTTGGAACGGCGAAGGCCCGAAATTGACAGGACAATAGACAACGCCGGGGACGTTACGAAACAACGGAACCGCGATTCAACGATCAAGTCCACGTCGCTGCATCCCAAAATTTCAGGTCCGCAATGACAGCATCGGGGGCGGTCGGCATCGATTTGGCCACGACCTATTCCTGCATCGGGGTATTTCATCATTGCAAGGTGGAGATTATCGCTCAAGGAAACGATCAAGGAAACCACATCACGCGTCGAATTGTACATTCGTGTTCACGAAGATCAAATAATTGATCAGCGATACAAAGAATTTAACCATAAATCCCACCAATACGATATTTTATGAGCTCTCTTGCATAGACTTGCGTCGGCTAGATTTGTCCCCGATTTTGTGCTTTTTGTGCGAACCGTACAAGCATCCTATTTTGACAAAATTCGAATACGATTAGTCTCACGTGGCAACAACCGCGAATAAAATTTTAACAGTATGCGCCGAGATCAAGCGATTTGGCAAGGTTGCTAGTGAGCGCGCGCGTAGTTTACCCAATGTATCCGTTGTTTTTGTTCTTGTTTCTGCTCGCAGCTGCGGTATTTCACCATTGTTAGAACAAGGGAAGAAGGGAATCGCCGGAACTACCGGCGAAGTCGGTAATGCGCTCGTTTCGGCGCCGCCAAATCGACTCGCTGCTTCGAAATCTACTATCGCTCGTATACGGACCTGGGATACGGCTAGTCCGCCGTAACAGACTGTGTTTATGATGCTGATAATAGCCGCAACCGCTTCCTTTCGGAGTGGTTGTCTTAGCTGGACTCACGTCCGCCTCCAATTAGGGCTACATCTCGACACAATTTAGTCGACCAACGTTACGATAAAACCGTATATTTAATTCTGAAAGAGAGTACAGCAGAGAAAAAAGAAAGACAAAGGTTTATCTTCAATCTCTATTTAGAATTTTATTTAAAAAAATAGCGAACAAATTTTATACATACATATCGTTATATACATATATATATATGTTTTTTTATTTAATAAAATATTTCTAAAAATTCGAATATCAAGAAGAAGCGTTAAAGAGCCAAAAGCAGGGTGAACTTTGCTTAAGTGATTATAATTTTAACATAAATAAATTAAGAATAATCGACAAAATACAATACAAAAAACAATATAAAAAAACCTCTGACGTTTCGACCCTAAATATGTGGTCATTTTCAGAGAGGTAGGCGGTAACGCATTATATAAAAAACATAACTTACATATTATTCGTATCTTATTATAAATACTAGAGGACATCACAAAAATGAAAGGACTAAGCCAGGATCCTCTAAGCCGATTAATACCATCTTGATTGTTACCGTTGCGAATAGTATTTATAATAAGATATGAATAATATGTAAGTTATGTTTTTTATATAATGCGTTACCGCCTACCTCTCTGAAGATGACCACATATTTAGGGTCGAAACGTCAGAGGTTTTTTTTATATTGTTTTTTGTATTGTATTTTGTCGATTATTCTTAATTTATTTATGTTAAAATTATAATCACATAGCAAAGTTCACGCTGCTTTTGGCTCTTTAACGCTTCTTCTTGATATTCGAATTGTTTATTCGTAAGAGCCTTATCCGTTACAATTTTAAATTTCTAAAAATAATTTGATAATTCTATATGTAGAAATTTTTTCGCATTGTTGTGCACATATGCTGTAAATTCACTTGTTATTAGAATTAATAATAATCTAAATACGTGATGAGTGCAAGAAGAACTTAAATATATACAATTTTATAGACCCTAAAAGATTAAACGATAAAAAATTTGAAGACTCATCGATGCCATTTGGCATGATCAAGCATTGGCCCTTCACAGTCATCAATGACAATGAGTAAAAATCCGACAGCAATATAAAGCAAGCGCATTAATTACGTATATAAATGGCGAGGAAAATCCCGTTCTGATATACGCGTCTAATGAAAGAGGAAAAAAAAATACTCGTGCCGCGCAAAGAACCGGATCGATCGTACTGACTAAGCGCGTTCTTTCCTTCATAAGTTTTATCCTGGCGAATGTTTTTCATCCTCGTACCGCTCCATTAATTACTCGTATTATTACAAGGGCGAAGCGAAATCTTTCTTCCCCGAAGAGATCTCGATGATTTTGACCAAGATGAAGGAAGCTTAACTTGGACACGGCCATCGCGAATGCTGCGATCACGGTGCCGGCATACTTCAACGACTCTCAACGTCAGGTTACGAAGGACGCGGGCACTATCGCTGCTCTGAACGTCCTGAGGATCATTAACGAACCGACCGCAGCCGCCATCGCTTACGGGTTCGACAAAAAGGGTCGCGGTGAAAGGAACAATCTTCGATCTCGGCGGTGGTGCTTTTGACGTATCGATACTGACTATTGATGATGGCATATTTGAAATAAACCAGCGTCCCTCGGAAAAGGCACATTGATAAGAGAATAAGCATCCGCACTATAGGCATATCTAAAAATGACACTCAAATTTTTGTGATGTAATAATATAAATAATATTCAATGTAAATAATATATTTACACTGAATAATAATACGAGCAGTAGAGTTATTTAATATCTTATTTTGATGAAATATATATCTTTTGCTTACATATAATACTTAAACTGCTTATATTAAAAAAGATTCTAATGAGAGGTAATAAAATTTATTACATTTCATGGATATAATGTTTGCTAATAAAGATTAAAATAACAGCTGGTGATAGTCATCTTGGTAGAGAAGATTTTAATTTAATTTAACCATCTGGTCACACATTTTGTGCAAAAATTTGTCAGAAAATACACGAAAGATTTGATGAAGAATAAGTGAACTGTTCATCACTGAAAACTGCCTGTGAACATGCGAAAAGAAGTTTATCTTCTTCTACGCAGGTCAACTTCGAAATTGATGTTTTACTGGATGTGGCATCACTTTTGCACTTCGATCACGTGCTCGTTTCGAGGAACTAAACCAGGATTTGTTTAAAAGCACTGTAGAGAAGGTGCTACATGACACTAAAATGGATAAGGGAAAGATCCATAATATAGTTCTTGTGGGTGGCTCAACGAGGATAGTACGTATTCAAAAGCTTCTACAAGTTATATAGCTAATCTCATGTCATCACTTTTGCTAACCGAGGCGTACGTATTTCAAAGACGTGTTATATAATTAAAATAGCTCGTCGTTTAATCAGGCAAATTAACATTTGTTGACTCAATTTCCTGTGATAAAAGCCAAGATAATGCTAAGTGTTTACGTTCGGTGACAAAATACATTAAAATGCGATTCAATTTCCACGCGCCGCCATCCCCGTCTCCGTTTCGACGCGACAGAAAAGTCGTAGGGGTGGCACACGCAGAGAAAACAGGAGGGTTGTCCCCAGGTTCGTTATACGGTATTAATGAGCTAGATGACAAAACCAACAGACACTCCTGCTATCTCTCATCGTAACTGTACAGAAACGAGATGTATTTATATCCCGTCGATAGTATTCTCTGAGAATTTGACAAAATCAATTTTCGGAAACATTTTCTTAGGATACCTTTAGCGACAAGGAATTAAATAAATCTATAAAGCTTACAAACAAGACTGTTTCCTACGGCGCGGCGGTGATCTATACTGCCATTTTGCGCGGCGATAAGTCGGTAAGGACGTACAGGATCTGCTGTTATTCCTTTCTCGATTAGCATCGAGACGGTCGACAATGTGATAACTTGCTTTTATCAGACGCAATATATGACGATCCTGACAAAACAAATTTTGAGATAAATCAAATATGGTGATACAAGTTACGAAGGAGAAAAAATGATGACCAACAATTTTTAGGAAATTTCGAGTTATTCCATTATTCCATCGGCATCATAAGCGATATCTCAGATCGAAGGGTGTTTCGCAAAATATGAAAAAATCAAATAAAATGGAATTTTAAAAGAGATCAGAAAATATTGGAAAACGCTCCGGTTGTTGAATATTTTTATGAAAAAAGCCATTCTTTAATTTAATACTTAACTTATACTAAATTTTTTTTTATAAATATAAGTTTAGTAGAAAGAGTGAAAAGATATATCAAATATATATCTCTATAGTCTATATAGTTAGATAAATGTTACGTACAGAGACACTTTTAGCCGCAGAATTATGAAAATTATATTATATAAAAAATCGAACTTTTTTCAATATTTTTTTCGTACGAGATGAGTGGATATTATTGAATCTTGCTATAGTTAATTTATGTCTGAATATCATTAATGACTAATATATAAGGAACGATAGAATTTTAAAGAAAATAAAATAGACATATGGCCATTTATTTGATCAAATGGCATTTTAGATATATGTACATACATACATATTTAGTCATTTTCATTGGCGTCTTTTTCTCCGAACGTGTTTCGCTTTCTTCGCAAGATCAGCTGTAGCACCTTCTTCACCGCGGTTGACCGCTTTAATGATCACCGATCAGTAATTAAAAGAGGGAGCCTCCAGGGCTCAAACGGCTAATAAACGTTTCCGACGATCGACATCGGAGATAAGAAAACAATCCTACGAGGCAATAGGCTCCGGAATGGATTGTACCGAGTATTGCAACAAAAAAAAAAGGGGAAAAAGATTCTTGAGCGAGAATGTATAGGTCGGCTCAAAGGATAAGAGCGGAGGCAGAACGATTTCTGTGTCCCGAGATTCCTTTTCTGTCCGTTGCCATCGATGCACGACGTCGGAAGGGACTCTATTAGAATTGTCAGACCGTTCGGATAAGCATCCGGATGTTAGTCGGCGCACGGAATAAAATCGCAAAAGAGAATGAAAGAAATCGAAAGCAGACGGCCCATCAGTTGAAAGGAAAGGCAACCGAGCGAGAAAGGGATGCCACGTCTTTTTTCCCACGAAATTTATTTTCACCCTCCCCCGGTTACGTTCGACATCGATGCCAATGGGTATCCCAGTAGAAAAATCGAGCAAGACGAACAAAATAATGATTACCAATGACAAGGAACGCCTCAGTAGAGACGACATCGAGCGAATGGTGAACGAAGCGGAAAGATATCACACCGAGGACGAGAAACAAAGGGAAAGAGTCACGACTAAGAACAACCACGAGTCATATTACTTTAACATGAAATGTACGGTCGAGGAGCAGAAGGTCAAGGAGAAGATATTGGAAACTGACTGAAAATGTATCAAGAGGTATAACAAGATTACCAAGTAGATGGGTACTAATAATATTCTGTGTAAACAACGGAAAAATTTAAAAGTTCAAAAAAAGTAGAGAAAATATTCTTGTATTTTATTGTATTTTTTATTCGGTTTACATCTACGGTAATGATATGCCTAAACTTCACTAAACGAAGAGCCAATGTGTATCATGTTTATTAGACATTTCTCAGCTTTCGTTAGAATAAAATTATATAGATCATGATAAAAAGACTCTATTAAAACTATTGAAATCTATATATCTTTTACGAAAATTTATAATTAAGTCATTTTTATGCTTTCGATAATAAGTACAAAATAATTTTGAAAACATTGATTTTATTTAATGTTCTATAAACAGATCATGCTGTTGCTAGGATTATTCAGAAAATAAAAAAAGAAAAGAAAAATATGATTATTTAGTTATGTTTATTAAATACTTTTATATGTTTTCTTGTGGCACTATCATTAAAAAAAATGTTTCGAGACATTTATTTGATAACTTTATTTTAAAAAATTTGGATATCTTTTTTGAAGATAATTACTTTATATTTTTTTATTATTACTTTATATTTTTTTCCTGATATTATGATATTCCATCGGAACGGAATCAAGAGACATCGCAAATAAAATTGTTGATATTGTCCGATTGATGATATTTATCTTGTTACCTACTATCACCAAAGAGTGTTCTGAGATTCCTACATGCACTACTACAGATAATAAAAATTCATCGGAGAAATGTTTAATGTTTATTTTAATACATCATTATTATTATAAAGTTAATAATCTTTAGATACGAAATCCTATTACTAAAAAGTGCTATAAAAATGCTTGCGCATTAAAATCGAAAATGCGGTAAGCAAACTGTTGCTGGTAACAGTGAGGATCCAACCTTGATCGAAGTAGACTATAATATACTGCATATAAAGGCTTGAAGCAAAGTATATCATTGAATGATAATACAATAATCTTTGACACATAACGAATAAGGAAGGTCAATGCACGGTCATAGCAGGATCTTGGTGTTTCTAATATTTTCTTATACGATTTTACATACGTATCCTAATTTCGACGAAAATATTAGAAGCACCAAGATCCTGCTATGATCGTGCATTGGCTTTCCTTATTTGTTTTGTGCGAAACACTTATACGGTCGCAATATAAATAATTTTTGATTTTATGAATTTATTCATTAAAATATTTCTGATAATGAATCTGTTTTTTAATTATTGCTACAATTTAATGATGAACATTTTTTTATTTTATTCTGATAGTTATAGTTAAGTGAAAATTTTGCTTCAATTTTGTAATATAGAAGAAGCTATAAATTAAATTTATGATAAAAGATAGTATAACAAGATAAATGAGCTCCTATAATATTTATTGTTTTAATTTTTTTTGATTTATTGTTACTTACTCAGCAATAATATAAGATAGCTCACGATAGGACACGAATATGGTGAGTTATTATAAAGAAATAATCATTTCATTTGAATTTCAACATGTTATTTATTGCAAGCGAGCTTGAGAAATGTAATTATCGTAATGATTTCGTAGTACATTTGTATGGGATAATATTATCAGATTAACAACGACCTAGCGTTGTCGCTTACAGGTGACATGCGAATGTGTATGTGTATATAATTATTATGTTGCCTTCGCAATCACGTAAAATTGTATGTGGTAATATGTACACAGCGAGAACGTTAAATATTAAATGTCTTTAGCTACAGTGATAGCTTACGAATTAATGGAACGTTTCTTCTCGTAAAAAATAGATATCCAGAGCACCATGTTTCGATTAATTTGTTATGTACAACAGCTGCGCCTTATCCATGGCGGGGGGGAGAGTACAGATGACAGTCGCATTTGATGACATGTCGCCGCCGCGTGATGTCTTTGCTGCCCGCAAACACATTATAACGGTGGCTGCTACTTTCGATTAACGGCAAGATTGCATGTACTCACCGCAGCCGATTCGCGAACGTCGAGAAACAAACGAGGAACAGAAACTGACTATTACGCCGTAAAATTTTATGCCCTGTACTCAGTCTTTCTCATGCGCAATCATTATCATCGCGGCCGTCTGGGTCCCGGCTTGTGACACGCTATCTCTGACGCCGTGCTGTCTGTGATTTGAGTTATATATGTGTTATCTGAGATCATGCGTGTTTGCTTTGCGAACGGGCATCGCGAAAAGAATTTGCAATGAAACTGAATAAAATCAAACTTTTTTTTTCTTTAAATCCTGATCCTTCTCGTAGAAATTTAGTTCAAATGGATTCCGTCTCGAGATCCATGGGTCCTCAGTAAGTGTCTCATTACCAAGCCCAAAGAGTCTCGGAGGTCCACTTTTCAATGTAATTTCGTTTATAGTCTCTTCTCCGCCGTCGGTAGAGTAGCGATGAGCGGGGAGGGAGTATTAAAAAGTCGGTGTTAAAAAAACGCGTGATTTACAAACGGGGACGTAAAACGGGATAAAGAAAAAAAAAGAACGAAATGAGAATTTGTCGAAGTGACCGTGGCATAAAATTTCTCGCTGGACCACCACGGAGGCTCGAATACGACGCGCGGTCCCGCGGTACTTTCGAGAGTCCTTGGTGGGATCGTATAGAGTAAATAAGATCACAAGCGTCATAGAGGCCCACGAGGACCCCCGGGGGTTAGAACAATACGTTAAAGTATAGTATTTCGTTGTTTATGTGTAAGTGTATGTAGGTATGTATGTATACGTGTATACTATATGAATATGTGTCAACAGTGTAAACATATGCACTTACAATATAATTATTAATATATACACACACGTAAAACGTCACTTCGGTTGCCTGCATCGTTTAATTGTTTAGACGCCGTGCAGTTATTTTTTTTTTTTAGATAGAACGTGAAAACTCCCCTTACTCTTATATCACATGTCGTATATAAGAAGGCACCACGAGTAACCTTAGATCCTAGAAAATCTATCGATTCGCGTCGCGAACCAACAAATTAAGCATGTGAGAAATTGTTGGCATCTTCGAGTGTCCATTAGTTACGTATAACGTACGGGCGAATATCTCGTCGGATTTTATACTGCACGGCGTTACTGACGCACTTCTAAATACAACTCGCGTATGAAAATACACACACACATACATATATATCCATAGAATATAGATATATTTAGAAAATATATTAAAATTTTGATTTCAATAATTTTCAAATACGTTCCACGCAAAATAATTATTAGCGTCGATCGGTACACGAAAATAATACATACATATATATATGGTTTACATATATATGTATCACTAGCCGTATTTCTTACGCAACGTTAACGTTCTCAATCGATCGTTCTCGCTTACGCACGTTCTGGCTTTCCTTATTCAGGACTGCACATTATTCCTGGTACTTATATTTACAAATGCATTTCTTGTAATTAATGACATCGGTCTAGCGTGTAATTTTAATTTAAAAAAAGAAATGTAAGAAGTAATCTTTATTTCTCTTAACCCCCGGTCTACAATTGCGTAAGCGTAGTTGTAAGTAATTGTAGTTGTAAGAACTGACCAATTACAGTCGAATATTCTTCTTATATTCGATTGTAATTGGTATATTCTTACAACTACAACTATTTGCAACTATGCTTACGCAATTGTAGACCGGGCGCCTTATATCGTAGCGCCTCGTGATTTTTTTTTTCAGCATGTCACACAATATTTAAGTGCTATATTGTTTTCTCCTCTGTGAATTATACCGGGGGAACACAAAATCGATGCAAGCTTAACAAAGACTAGGCACTTAAGGTTTCAGGATCACATTTGGATCATGAGGACATTATGTTTAACTTGTTTTTATTTTATATGTAAATAAAATTTCACGCATTCAATTTACATATTACTTCGGTCATCCATTAAATTTCTCAGCATTTTTGTAATGTTACTTTAGAAATTTATTTATACAAAATATGATTTTTTATGATGTTTTTTTGATGTTTTTTAAATTAAATTTTCAAAAATGTTCAATTAATCGCAGATAATTCTAGAAATAATTTAAAAAATTTTAAAAATAATTTTTATATCATTTTAAACAATATAATATATATTATATATAAAATTGAAAATTGATTAATTTAGGGTACAAAATGTACATATTTTTTTCTATTTTGTTTCTCTTTTGTGTGTCCCCGTAACTTTTTACTCCTATTAACTTATACTTTCGAGTCAGCTTGACTCATTATGCGGAACACCATTGTTCACGCCTGGAAATGCACGGTTATTTACGAATCGATTTCATAATAACTTAGCATGTAAGTCCCTCGTTACGACTAGTCAATTGCCTCTTTCAACGCAGCTAATTGCTCCTCGCCTAGCTTCACCTTGTCCTGTATCTCGCGACCGTCCACTATCAGTTTCGCCTTTATGTTGATGAAATGCTGGTAGTCAGCAAATTCCTCTTCATTCAGGTACTTTGCTAGGATCACCGACATATTCACGCTACGTTTATCAATATTGTTCTTCAAAATCTTTGCTTCTTCTAACTGATCCATTAGCTTGTCCCGTTTACTCTCCAAAATTTTCTGCACAGAATAATAAAATTAATATGAATAAATATTTAGAATTGTGTATGTTGTGTTGCGAAAAATGCTTAAAAATTTACAACATATAAAAATTAAAATAGATATAAATATCTATAACAGATAAGTAATTTACACGACTCTATTAAATATTGAATATTAATAAACTCTATAAAATATTAGAAAAAAATCGTTATTGTTCGTAACTAAAATTATACATTTAGTTTTAATATATTTTTATTTGTTTTTCATTAATTTTGCATTTTTGTATGCAATAATTCGATTTGTATATCACATGATGATTATTATCAAATATTTATACCGAATTGCGATATATTATATCCCACGTAGTATGGTTACTTGTAATTGACGACGGAAGATCGCATGCAAGAAAACAAGATGTTTCATACTTACTCTCTCTGCATGGTCGGCCGGCATACCATAAAGGGCATTCTCAGCGCGAGCCAACCTGCCGCTGAGGCCGAGAAGGAGGCTCGTAATCTTGCCGACTTCCTCTACGTGATTCCGATACTTGGACGCTTCCGGCGGGCGAGCCACGGCGGAAACGCGAGCGGCGACTCGCGCACCCAGAGTCTCATTCACCTCACCTTCCTCCCTTACGGCCTCCTGCTCGGCCCTGAGAACCACCAGCTTCCTGTCGAGGCGCATCATCAGCTCCTCCTGAAAAATCATCCATAGTTCTAGAATAACACGCATCATAAGCCGATACCATACTATGGAAACGTGCTTTTAGCCGCGAGATTCGACGGACCAAGAAAACACGGAGGTATCTAATGGGCGAGGTAATGATTTGCTATGCGAACAACTGGTTAGGTAACAGTCCAGGCTTAAAGATATATGATAAGTAGAAATTCCAAAGCGCGGTAATTACTGTACATTTTACATAAGACTAAGATTGTACTCGGAGGCCAGATGAAATGATACTTATTATCGTCTTTATCTTCGCGTAATCATTATTATTCTGCCGCTTAGGAGCCCCGCGTCCACATATCGATCAAATTTAGTCGCAGGCAATCGTAGAGTTAATTATAGCACATCCTACAGGCGCGCGTTTAATTATGCTCCGGTTTGTGGAGTAGTACCTTTTTCTGCCTAAGGTCAAGGCTGTTCGTTGGTACAACCGCCGGCGCATCCTCTTGATGTGTTAATCCCTCCGCCGTGACGTCCCGCGAGTATCTCGTCAGGAACCTCGCCTTCCCCTCGGATGTCGTGAAATAAGCCGAAGTGAGGGACAGGGGGCTGGTGGAATCGGCCGACAGTGGCGTGACGGGAGCCGAGGGTATCGTTTCGTGCCTGAAAAGAATTTATTACGATGATTACACCTCCGGTTGGTTAATGCGGACTAAACCGGACCGTCCTCCTCTCTGTTTCTCTCGCGGTGTTTATGCAGAGATATTCTTATAATTGTCATCATTGCGAGAGAGCAAGGAATTGCGTCAATGAACGTGAGTCACGATTGAATTAATCTCCACGGTTCCGAGGCGAGGCAAGGGAAACAGAATGATTTGTGAGTGGATGCAAAGGAATGTTTTGCTGCAGCGGTAGAATTCGCGGTTTATTTTCGTAATCAACGTCCGTGATGAGTAATAAAGTCATACACGTGATATTGGATAGATTCTCAAGTTTATGGACGGGAAACGCTCAATAAGATCTCATCTCATTGTCAGCTCATAATCCGTAATCCATAATCCGGCGGTGATTGTTATCAGTTAAACGACAACATGCACGATACTGTGTACGTCTAGGCGAGTCTATATAAAAGAGGAGAAAGTGATAAAGAAAGGAAAGCGCGTTGTATCGGATCGTACATTATTAAAAAAAAGACATTCAATTGTACGATTTGCTAGAAGTTATGTTCGAGATCCGTTAAAAACGAAATATCCGCGATCAAGAAGCGGAAGTGGATTCCAGTGTAATTATCTCTTCAATCATTATTTGCATGTGTATAGCGGGTACGTCCAAATGAAATTGTCACGATTTTATTGCTATCTAAAATTGCTTTCGAAAGTGTCGATTTTTCTTTCTTCCAGCCGTAAAATATGGTAGAAAGTTACGCGCGAGTACGGTTAAAACTAATTTAACGTAATACGTCGGCCTCTCGTTCACGATTTTCGGCCGGTTCTTAAACCATCGGCAAAGATTTTACCACGTCTCTCAGCGCACTTCATTCTCACGTGAAATGTTAATTTACAAGTTGTTACGTGGTCCGCGGATTTTCAATTTGCCACTTAGCGCCGACCGCGCTTCAACGTCCGGATGAAACAAAAACGAGAGTTTGTATATACTTTTCTGGAGGACCCATTTCCCGTACGACTCGTTGCAAGCACGCCGAGCACTCTGCCGAGTACGATGCGTCACTTTCAGCCATATGTTGGAGACTGACAAATAATATGATGCGTAGAGAACAAGCACTGAGTAGTGCTTGACAATATCATTTATGGCGGATTACGTAAGAACCTCGCTGCTTTGATACTTTCTCTTTGAGCACGGAGGAAGTATTGTCCGTGAGTGCGCAAGACAGACCGGATCGACGAAAAAGGAAAGAGAGCTGCGATGCCGTAAAAAAATAACAATAGACAGTAACCGTGAAACGCGCATCCGTGGATGCGATAATACAAATATATCGAAAAAAAAAACTTGACAATATTCTAGAAATACTGAATATGCGAGGCATTTATAATATTTTGCGATACAACCGTGCGTAAGACATCTGAATCGACAAAAGAGAAATGGAAAGAAAGAATGAAAGAGGCAAAATTACGAAGTAAAGAAAAGAACCGTCTGCACGTAATTGTTTGTACAAGACATTCCTGACTGCTGCTGCTATCGATTTGTTAAATTCCGGCGTTTAATCATCGTAATTGAAAAACAACAATTAGATCCCAGACGGCAATGGAAGTTCATTAGTGACGGCTTGCGTCTGTCAGGAAATTTTGTCGTCTACGCCCACATAAACGTCGCTCGTCGGGTAATAAAAGTATCCCTGTGCACGCGTCTGGCTAAATGAGATATTTTTGGACGCGTGCCGCCTTCTTTTCGCACGAAATATCGTGTGAACGGCACGTACATCTGGCGTCCTTCCAAAAAGATCCACGCGGGGTTTATTTTACCTGCCACAGTAACCGACCACACAGAGCGCGATCGAAGAAATTTAAATGACAGTCGGCAAAAGTGAGCAAAAGGAATTTACACTTGTTTATTAAAATTATACGGTGCCTCCTAGACGTACGCGTCGACCAATTAAGTCGAGTAAAGAGAATCGCGAATTTGCACTTGTAATGAACGCCTTCGGATTCCGGGGCATCCGAGTTGATTAATAGCACGTAATCCAATGCTCGCGAGCACGTGAAAACTATCAATTATCGCGTTTGGTCTATATTTACGCTGTCTTATCTGCCTCGTCCGTAACAACAATCTTACTGACCCTTGCCGGTGCAGCCGGATGAAGACAACGCGCGTGATATCGGCGCGGCGTGAGCTGCCTCATAAATACGCCTTAATTAAGTGAACTTCGGCCGAAAAAAAGGAAAGAAGAAGAAGAAGAAGAAGAAGAAGAAAGAAGAAAAGAGAAATAAGAGGAGCTCACTTTTTATCGTCCACGTCCGCGTCCTCGCTGCAGGAGGCCGTTGACTCTTCCAGGGAGAGCCGTCGCCTTGTTCGTGGCTGCAAGGTCGCCTCCACCCTGAACAGGCCGGAAACGTAGTCGGTGGGTTTCTTGTGCTCCGGCGCTGGAACTGATAAGAAGCAAAAAAAAGGGACATCATCAGCCGTTCTCGGTACGCGCGTTTCCCTCCTCGCACACTTCGCTTCACGCTCCAGGGATCTCCGTGTCCTTATGGAAACCATAATACGACAAGGGATTGCATCGAATATCGCGGCGACGGCATATAATTGAATAAGGCAGTGTCGTGTCGTTGATTAAATTAACGCTTATTAAAACACACGGAGGGTTATTGCCCTCGAATGCTTGACTCTGCATGCCGTGTCCCAGATGATAATTGCGCTCGCGCGCGCCCGCGAGTGTACATATACAATACATTATCCGTGCATTCGAGCGACGGCTAAACGTATACACGCGTGTACGTAAAATAAGCGTGCGACAGCGTAAGTGTAACGGCGACTGGATAGACGGTATATGTGTCAGCGCGAGTTCTGCGTTAGCGAACGTCATTTAAAAATTGAGCAACGTATCTAATTGAATCAATTCCATTGGCGTGTATTAATAGTGACGTGGAGCAAATAATAAAATCACCAGATGAACGATGCTCTTCAAAAACCATTACTCATGCAATTGAGACAGAACGATGGAGATAACGATAAAGAATACAACTCACCGAGTATGGGCACCAGCTTGTCGTTGGGGCTGAGTTGACTGGCTAAATCCTTGCTGAGCTCCTCGCACTCGATCTCCTCCGGTAATTTCTTCCTAGATTCCGGAAGCGGCCGCTGAATTTTGCTGACGCAATCCTGCTCCGTGTCCTCCAGAATGTCAGTCTGCGATGCGGCGTCGCTGGTGGCCGCGTTCACCCGCAACACGACCTCGGTACGCTGCACCAACGTCAGTCCTTCTATGCCCGGCTGGGGCGATACGCAAAGCGACGATCTCGTCGACGACTTGTCCTCCTCGACCGGCGAATTCCTCGGCGAGGAGGAAGAGGACGCTTTGGAAACGCTCGAGATCGAAGACGTGGACGATCTGCCGCCCGTCCTAAATTTCGAAGACGCGGAGAGTCTCTCGATTCGCGATTCCGTATCGCTCGTTTGACTCAGCCGGCTCGGCGAGTTGGATCTGTTCCAGGAACCCGTATTATCCGTTTGAGTCGGGCTGGAGACTTTTCTGTTGGAGGCATATTCCATCCGTGCTTCGTTCCGCGTGAGAGAATCGAGGGAACTCTTAGGAGACGATCTGGATAGCAAACCTCGAGGCGATATGCGAGCATCTATCGATCTTCCTGAGGAAGAGGTGCTAGAACAGCTTCCCGATCGTCTCGGAACAGCTCCTCGTGGACTCGTAATCTCGACGTTATTTGGCGATTTCGGCGGTGAACTTGTCGGCGGCGGTGGTCTGTCGGAAAAGATGGTAGCTTCTATCGAGTTTTGCGTTTCTTGTTTTCTCGTCCAACCGTTATCATAATTCGTAGCGGCTGATGACGTTGTGGTGCTGATTGAGTACGTGGATATCGTGCTATTTGATGTTGATACACCACTTATTCTCTTCTCATTACGGCGATTTAGTAATTCAATATTCTGCGAGGTCATCTCGATCGTAGCGCTTCTCTCGCGGAAGAAGTCGTCGCCGGTAATTGGAAGCGGACCACTGATTTCTCGTAGCTGCTTCTGGAAATAAACGTCTGAGTCTCGTAAACTATTTCGTGGAAAATCCAGAAATAACAACACAGCACAATCGATAAAATATATATATAAGTGAGTAAAATATTTTAAAAAAATTTAGTGTCTAAAACACGTAATTGTTTAAAATGCGTAAACGAAAGAGATAGAAGAATGTTAAATTGCCAGAATAATGATAATGAGGTAAATGCTAAGGTAAAGTGGCGAGCACGTTATGCGAGCTCGGCAAGAAATTGAATGCTAGAGAAGCGTAAACTGAATTCGCGCGTCCTTGACACCGCTATATTTACAAGTGTAAAAATAGGTGGTAGACCGTTGAGACACGAAAAACACGTAAATATCGCTATTACGTGAAGGTAAATATCCGTGAGATAATCTCACCTCTCTATTTTGAGGTAGGGGCTCGCAGCTCGCTGCCAACTTCCGACGTTCTCGCTCTAGCTGCCTGTTCCTGTCATTAAGAACCTCCACGCTTTGCGGCGATAGTCTTTCTCTACGTTGCTCGTAGTCGTGTCTTTTTTCCGGATGCCTCTTTTCTTGATAATGATGATGATGATGATGATGTTGATGCCGATCCTCGAGATTGTCGTTGTTGTTGTTTTCATTAGTGCGAGACCGTACGTCGCTGGCCTGGAGCTTTTTGTTGAGATCGTGCGTGAATTTAGTGACCACCTCTGTCGAATGTTGCTGCTGTTGAGGACACCTCTCCTCCAATCGATGATGAAGAGCGTCCACGCTGTATGACTTGGAGAGATCAGAATGATTGTTGTGATGGTGATGATGCTGCTGCGGTAATGGATGATGCGATGTGACACGTAAAAGAATGGGATCGTCGTGATCCCTAGGAGGCGGCCAATCGTCCATCCGTGATGTTGGCGACATAGTTCTCTTGTAGCTGCCCTCGCTATCGGGAGCACCACGCTCTCGCCTGTGAGCCAAGTAGGAAGCCTTAGACTGGCTTCTGAAGCAAAAAAAAAATATTTTTACATGATAAATGCGTGCGTAATTCAAATCTCAATGTCATGCATAATTTTAAAGAATAGTATTATCTTATCTATTTTTTGATAAGATATTGCGTCGAAAAAAAATGTGATTATATACGATATTTTGAATTTTCAAATCTGTCGGTATACAAATCTATCTAATAAATCTAACAAATTCTGATAAATTAGTTGTTGGAAAGATTTATTATTAACATGATTCCTGTTTATATTTAAAAACTTTATTTTATCACAATCCAAAATGCGACGATGCATTCTGTAACGATATTTTTATAACTAATTCTCATGCACAGCTGCATCAAGTAGAAACGTATCCAAGCGAAGTAGACACGTGTATACATGTCACATAGATATTAGATGCTGTGTCACGTACATCTAAATCTTCTCTAAAATGTTAGACGTGATAAATGGAATTGAGTAAAGCTATTCATCTAATATATTTCCAGAATGCTAATTCTTAGGTTGAATGATAATTGTAAATAAAATGTTGCGTCAATCGCTTACAAAATATTAAATAAGAGATATTTTAAGCATGTGTATTATATAAAATATAATAATCATTTCATCGCAATAAAGTAAGATAAATTCCACGGTTGTCACATGCATCTAACAGTTTATTATAATATAATTAACTTAATACAAAGTTTTTGTTACATATGTCTTGCGATTCAATGCATGTAAACGAAGATAAACGAGTGCCTAACAAACCACGCAAGAAGAATTTCCAAGAGATATCTGACACAAAATCGCTCTATTGTCCGTACAGATTTGCGCAATTATAGCAATGCATCCTCAATGATCGATTGTGCGGTAACGTTGATTAATCGTCGGTCAAAGTCATAAATATGACTGTATTTGAACTCGAAGAACTTGGCGGCGATGAAAACAGTTTAATCGAGACCGGATACGGCTAATATTGTGTTACATGAATTTTAATTCCTCAGCATACCTTTACGGTTCTATTAGTTTCTCACGGGCTTCTGTATCTTTCATAAGCAACCGCAAGAATTCTTACTGGAATACCTTGAAACGGTTGCAACGTTGCGTGGAAGCATAACTATTCCGACAAGGCATCTTCGCTTTGTTAATCGTGCGATTTAATCGTAATGATGCTCTTTGCATATTTAAATATAATATTATTTATACATCTGTATACGTAATGTATAATTATATGTATACTGTATAATTTCAAAATACCGTTTCAAAATTAATTCCGATTATGCCTTAATACGATTTGCTTCGAGACGCAATAGTGTAGCTATAAAATATGAAATGTCAAATGATATAGAGAATACTTTCTCACTCACTCACTCTCACACTCTCTCTCTCTCTCTCTCGCTCTCGCTCTCTCGGATTTATTTTCCCATTTTGTCTTGTGTAAGTAGAAGTTATGAGCACGCGAGCGCGATCTACCTTGACGAGCGTTGCGTTCCTACTACGGAAGATAGAGATCACCGAAGCGAGACTAACATTCGCGACACTGACATTGCTGCGTCGTTCCGACATTTATCATTTTTTGAGCACACGAACGAAGGTCCCCTCGGCTTAATCCGAAGCATGCGCGGTTGTGTGGTACTGATTTTTCTCCTTTAATCGGATCACGACATTGAAATGCCGTCACTGTGCACTGTCGCGATCGTTCTTACATTCATTGTGCTCGATTCAAGCCCGTCCATATTTATGACAACGTACGCAACACATAATGTCAGATCCCGCCCATGGGTTTACGAAGTCGTGTCACTAAAACGTCGAAATTATTATTCTTAACAGACAGCTTTAGATGTTCTCGATTTGTTGTTACCGCGATCGAAGAAAAAAACTAAACTGTGGAATAATCTCCCTGCATATAATGATCGTTGTGCACGTGCATTAATCTTTTCTTGGTCGAGTGGACGGAGGGACAGCACTTTAAGATTTGCGGCACGGAGGAACTCATTTCGATTCGGTCGCCCAACTTCAAAAGCGCCCTGCTTTCATCCTTGAAGATTGACGTGATGGCTTTTGCGCAAATTGCTCCGGCTTACATCGCTTAAATTTTATTCTTTCTTGTCGCGCATGTCTGAGGGAAATGAAAGTTTTTTTTTTTTACCGTAACGAAACAGTTAGGAGAGAAGGACCGAAAGTAAAATTCGTGTCCGAATTCTAATCACGCGGGGAGTACGTCACAAAATCGTATTCTAGTAACACAATTTTGGCACGATAAAGAAATTCGTTTCACGAATGTGAGAAAACTACTTAGTCAGACACGTGACATTGCAATTCCAATATTTATGAAATAGGGACGAACATGTAATCTATTATGATTCGAATAAGCGCAACTCACAAGTGTAACAAGAGACACTTTTGACATCGTCGAAATACGACTCGAGTAAAATAAGGGTTTATCAGCATTAACTGCGCAATGCAGTTTTTACGCTGTGCTATTCGTAGAAATGCGTATACATTCTGTAATTTGATATACATGCAGAATATGAGTATGAGCGGCTGCACAAGATAACCGTTTGGATAAAAATTATTATTAAATTTTTTATAATAATAATTTATTATAATAATTATTATATTTTCTATAATTGTTTAATGTTACAATTTACTTTAATTAATACATGTATCCAAATAAACAAATATTAACGCGCTGTTATTTTCTTCGCTCGGTATTTTTGCGAAATCAATAAAAAAATGTGTCTCAAGTGTGTTTGCCTCGCCGGATCGTATATATATCCCGCAATTTTAAGCTGTCGGTGATAATGAGGCTCATTCGTAAAATAAGTAACGATCCTGTCCAACGAAGAGCAATGAGTAGCGCACGCGAACACGTGGCCTTAAAAGTTACATCGAATAACGCCCATATGTAACGCCCCTCGTACATGCACTGAACGTCTTTCGCGAATACGTGCTTCTCTCTTTTTCGTGGCTGATTGAAGAACGCGAGGGAGAGAGAGAGAGAGAGAAAGTCATCGGTTAAAGATAAAATACGCGTGCAAACAACGGAAGAAGAAAATGAATATTATACTTCATGACTTTTCCGACACAATAAAAATGTACATGTCCCTACAGCGCGCTCCTTTGAGAGTAAAAATAATTCCGTGCTCTTCGCGTTTTTATTATCCCCAGCGGCTGTATCTGTAATGTCGGCGCACAGTTAGATAAATACAGCGAGCGATCGCATCAACGGCAAATTTCGCGCTGGTGAGTTCGATGAGAGCACTATGACGGGAATGACGAAAGTACATTTGCACGCCTAATGATGGCACAGCCGCAGGACGAGACGTGAGTAATTTATTATGCCGGGATGAGAGAATACCGGCTGACCGGTAGCCAGTTTACGTACTAGTATATCACGATAATTGATGGCCGGTGTTGTGTTCGCCCTAGCACCACTCCACGCCGTCTCGTATCACGTCCCGGCGACTTTGCGTACCTACCAGATAAATGGCAAAGTGTTTATTAATACAGTCACCCGGCGTTCCGAGAGGTCTCGAGATAAGAAGCTGCCAGCATGTTTGAACGTTTCTAAAAATAATCTCGCATCTCCAAGTGCTATAAAAGTCTTAAAAGTAGTGATATATTTCCGGTATATCGCCAAGGTATACCGAGGCGCGATAAGGAAATTTTTTTTCTCCCGATCGTTTGCTATGATTCACAAATAATAGCCTGACTATTTACTCGCACGTGTCTCGCAGTTAAACGACGTTTCGTATAACATCGTTCTTCGTTTAGTAATATCTATAGAAATTTTATATCGGATATATGTATATTTATACTTCTCTTTACGGAATTTTCTCATGGAATCAATTACACTTAGCGTTGATGTACTCACACAGAAATATGCGTCAATATTTTATGAAGTTCGATAGAAGTGTTTTCTGTCGGCGATACATATTGATATGATTCATGCAAGCGTGCGTTCAGTACGCGCGTAGCGTTCTCTCTCTCTCTCTCTCTCTAACATTTATAGATACGTGCATACCGCCACCGTAAATAAATATACCGTTTGGCATTTAACACTTTGTTCGGCCTTTTAATTATGCAAATATCATGTTGCCGTTTTAATTAAAATTGAGAAACAAGATCCTTTCAATTTCGTACATAATGTTTTATAAAATTTATAGATTTCTTGGAACGTACACGACGTCCACGATCGCAAACAGAGCATCATGTTCTTTCCTTTGTCCGACAACTTAATTATGCGACGACTAATGGCATGGCATGTCTTTTGTTGATATTAAGAAACAAGGCGCCGATCTCCCGTTGATCTTACGGAACGAGCGAGAACGAGCGTCGTATTGCATCGCGCCCGTAAATACGCGTCGCCGCTCGATAGGCTACACAGCGAACATCGATACGGTTGCATGCTCGGGTGTCTCGTATTCATTAGGGCAGATCGACGATCAGTAGACACCGATCGGTCGGGAAAGGCGATCGGTCATTACGACACCCCGGTAATTAACTCGAGGCCGAGTTCGACTACTACGGCGCACGTATATTCCTGCCCGCCGGTGTACGTGCGCGAATTAACCGCGAGGGAGACGGGGGGGGGAGAGAAAACGCTACGAGCTGCTAGTAGTAGTCGTACAATTTACATATTCGGCCGCATTTATACGGGAGCGATAGTTTATTCGCTCGAGCGAATCGTCTCGCGCCCGGTGGAACGAAAGCCAGCCTATCGGCCGCAAGCGACGTTCGCTAGTTCCAACTAATTTTATAGAACGCGCATTTATACATCACGACGTCGAAAAGATACTTATCGCCGACGATAAATTATAAATTCAGGTATCTGTTCTGATCTGTTCTTAAACATTGAAATTAACAACGCACCGGAAGAATCAATCGCGAAGATTTGATATTATCTGCGTAATTAGGCGTTTAAGACCAAGGCTAAAAACTCCGACTCCGGTTTGCATCCAATCGTTGGTTTTGATGTGCAATAATTTTCTTTGTAATTCAAAGATTTGGTAAGGGG